CCAGTCCCTCACTACTCCCTATGCCTAACACTGGAAATACTTATTTTCTATGTGTTTTCGCCAGTGAATGCAAAACTCAGGGATTATTTGATTATTATTTGCATAATATGTTAGGGAAACGAAATATTTTTGTTATCATTATTACATTATTATCTAAACAATGACTTAAATACCTATCGTTATTAATGTTATGATTATTTTTTCTTTCTATTCTCTCTCTCTCTCTCTCTCTCTCTCTCTCTCTCTCGAGTCGACCTTTAAGACAGATTTTTAAGACAATACTTATAAATTCAATGGTTTTGTTTGTCATAAAATAAATAAATTAACAAATACAGGTATTATTGATTTATACAGGGATAATAATGTTTATATCTAAAATAAAAAATGAAAACTTTTAATAATGATAAAAAATAATTTTATTAATTATTATTATTAAATATACTTTATTTTAAACACTATAGAAATTGTGCACAAATTCCTAAACAATTCATTTATCAAGCAAAACATTTCAAATTTTTATGACTTCCCTTAATCCTCGTGTGAATAGTGTTTTTTGAAATCATCGTATGTATCATGAATTGTCGCTTATATTTAGGACTTGAATATAAAATTTTACGATCACTTTGTCTCAATCGTGAGCTTATATTTTGGTTTTATTTTTTACTCAATGATTATAAGTAAATAGTAATATATTTGTGCAAAACATTTATTATATAAAAAATTTCTATAACAATAAAACTATCAAAATATATGGCATATAATAAGCGATTGGTGTTTGAATCAAGTGATTTGCATAAGGATTTAGGATTTTCATAATCGGTTGGTTTATGTTTAAAAATTATTACTTCATATTTACTGTATGTTCAATAGATTAAATTTTCTATTGTTTTATATACAGGTTATTTACAATAAAATGTATATATTTTTAAATTTATTTACAAAAATAAAAATGATTTATTATTAAATGATTTTGTGAAATACCATGTCTACGAGCTTTATTAGTAAATTATATTTGCATAACAAATATACAAATATAAAAGATTTCTATTTTATAATATTGTACACAATTATTATATTACATAACTAAACTAACATCGATGTAAATGTTTTTTAATTCAATGATATCCCCATAATTTTGGGACACTTAGCCCACAGATTCTGGACATGATTTTGTTCATACTCTTCATTGCCATAGAGTTCAATGGTTTGTATTTTCGGTATTTCCGACAACGAGTCCAACAAATCGGACGTAATATTAATTTTCTTAAGCATTAAATACCGCAGTCTTGGGAACCGTTTGCCTATAACTGACGCAAATGTCTCATTAATTATAATGATTTTATTGCAACAAATGCTTAGATGTGTTAATCGTTTGCATAAATTCAGGGACTTTTTAGTCAGGAAAACATGTCTCTGATAATAGCCGTCAATATAGAGACGTTTTAATTGTTTATTAAAATATGTATTAATTGTTTTGAAAGTTTGACGAAATTTCTCGTTTGACTCGATGTCCGCATTAAGTGATAGTCTCTTGATTTTGGGACAATTAATACCGATTTGTTTTAATTGATTATTCATATACTGGTTGTAAATATCGCCACAAAAAATGATCCGTAAATCACATAACTGTGGCATTTCTAACAAACCAGTCATCAATATATCAGTAGACTTCTGATCGCAACCAAAATCAATGGTCACTGAAATTGATTTCAAAATATTTTTATAACTTTTCACAAATGCCTTAAATATAATGTTTGCTTCAGCGGTGTATTTAATACTTATTTTCTCTAATTTCCTAAATAATAGCCCATTTTCACTATTATTCACAAAATATGTTAGTAATTCATCAATATTGTTGTAATAAGTTAAGTTTGTTATCAATTGCTGTAAATTATGACAATAATTAACACCTGATGTAAACGTTTCCCAATTGACATCCATATAGTTATCATTAGTAATCTGCACATCAATTGTATGCAAATGTTTGGCAAACTTTGCGAAAAACTTGTTAATTGTTTCGACACTTATTGTTTGGTTGGGATTATATAATATATGAATTTCATTCAAACGATTGCAATGTTTAATGATTGATTGAATGCCAGAATCGCCCAAATATTCCCAATTTGTTAGTTTAATACTTGTAATAGTTTTACACTTTTTCAGTATTGATTCAAACGATTGTTCATTTAGTTTACGGTTTTTAATCTTCAGCTCTGTTTGTCTCTTATATATGACTCGTTGCCACTGTTTGGACAGACATTCATAACGGAAAGTGTCTGAAAATGATAGGTAACTCAATAGGAGTTCACATAAATCGTCGCCAAATGTGTCAAAACTGTCTTTACCATACATTTCACTCATGTTTTACATACTAATATTAAATCTGTTTATACTATTAAATACTAAATAAATTAAAATTGTAACAATTATTTTACTTGTGACCACAATATAATAGTTTATGGGTTTAATATTTTATACATAAAATGCAATATTTATTATATATTTCATAAACATTTGCAATCAATGTTTCTATGGATATATAATCTATATTATATTATAGACATTAGATTTTAATTGAATAGTATAGTAAAATACGTTTACATAGAAAATAAAGTTCATATAAGAAATTAATTAAAAACTTATTTATCGATTGTAAACAGATATAAATTGTCGCATAAAAGATCATTTTGATGAATTTTGTTATTTTATAAGAAACCTTTTTTAGATTTGAAAAGGGATAGAAAAAATAGTATCCGGTTTATAATGAATTTCATAAAATATATACGAGTGATGAATAGTAAATCCAGTTTTTTCGGTACAAAATATGTTTTATTTTGAATAAAAATTTCAGTTTTTCTCACTATTTATCTCTTTGAAACACTTCTAGTCTCTCTCTCTCTCTCTCTCTCTCTCTCTCTCTTGAAATGAGAGAGCAATTAATAAAACTCTTATTTTATAAGTTAATTATTGTGATTCTCACGAAATAAGGTATTTATAAATTACACAATTTACTTTAAAACAAAAATAAAATATATTCCAAGTTTTATCCTAGAAATAAATTAACACATAATTAATTTGCAACAATATTTTACTCAATCAAATAAAATGTATTAATATAATCATTAATATTTTGCTTGAACAGTTACCGTTTCACAATTTAATACAGTACAATACAATTATAAGCATGTTTGCTTTAGTATTAATTGAAAATTTCAAGCAAATAATTAATTTATAATTAATACATAAAAACTTTAAAAACAAAACATTTGATCCAATGATGGAACAGATAGGCGAGGGATGAGGAAAGGGGTTAGAGAGAGCACATGGAGATAAAAATAATTTAAATAAAATAAAATTATACCAATTAACAGTTAAACTCAAAATAATCACACATTAATCACAATCTTTAAAATATAATGACAACTTTTTTGAGTATTAACTACAAAATTAATAATTAGTGTCTCAAAACTCGTAAATAATTAATCACTAAAACAAAAAATACATTTTATTGTAATCTAACTTAAATTTTGAATCCAAAAATTCAAAATTATTATGATTATAATTGATATAAATGGCAAATAAAAGTTTGGGAGTATTTCAAGGGGTGATATCTCCAAGTATTTGATATACAAACCATTGATTTCTTAGGATTTGTTTTGACCACAGATTCAAATTATACACCAATTTATTGATACATAAATCAATTCATATGAGAATAAACTGGCGAAACATTGTGATTAGGATATCGATTATCAATACAGGGTTGGGATGTATGTATGCCTTCCTATTAATGGAATAATCAGAAAATTTTAAAAATGCCAAAACATACGGCCCTAAGACTAGTGTTAACCTCAAAGCTTACACAAAGTTTTTCTAATGTATTGAATCAATACTATTGATAATACAGGTATTAATATGGTAATCATAATATGAATCCATAACTGAATTATTATATTATCTGATCATTGATTGCATTATAAAATCAACTCTTTTTACAGATAACAAGAGAGAGAGAGAGAGAGAGAGAGAGAGCAAAGTTTCACATGATTTACAACTTAACACAAATCATAATAAGGGTTATTATAAATTAAAAATTAAAAACAACTTATTTTTATTATAATACAGTATTATTTCTCACTCCTTAACACATCTTATATGATAACAGTTTGCACGGGACGTCTCTGAAGGCACCGGTAGTCTCTCATGTTTGACAACTTTTTTTTCGATGCCCACACTGACCCGGGTGTTAGCGCACAATTATCGCTAGCCTTTTGGCGACTACTACTATCTCATAAGATATGCTAATATTTCATAAGAAAACTCATAAATAATATATTTATCGAAAAAAATCAATATTTATTACACAAAATGGACAGGGATTTGGACGCATAATAGCCCACATTCCTGGGCCTGACATATTCGCACCGACAGATTGTATGGCTATTCCCTTTGAGGCCCCTATTGTACATCAATTTCCATTGTGATGTCTGTCCAATGGATAGACAACTCCTTAAGCTGTCATTCCTGTGAGTTATGGCCACAAAGATTTTGGTAACGTTTTGCTTACACTTGAAAATCAGAGCATAAATAAAGTCTTAAACAGTATTTTGTTACCGAAAAAAGGTATAAATTATTTGACACACAAAAAAGTCTCATTCAATTCTGGACACAAGCCTGGCAGGGGTTACATATAGCCTACCGGTGCTATGCATTTAAAACTTTCTCCACTTTCGGACATAACTTTCGTTTTTGACAAAAAATCGCTTTTTTAGGATAAGTGCCATAAATATTGATCGCAACATTTGGGACATATTGTGTGTCAAAGGTTTAGTTATTTGATGTGATTTGCAAACTATTGTATGAAAAGCATTTTATTTAAAAAAGTATAGCTCTCTATACGGTAAAAGTATAGACTAAAAGTCCGTAATATAGAGAACTTACACAGGTATATTTTTAAAAACATTCATTATTTTAATATAAGAGATTTATTTATTTATTGTTATAACTATTGATTATTTATTAATTATTTTAAAAGTAAATTCAAAGAAATCCATAAAAAGTGTATTTGCGGGCAATTAGTTTGAAAACACATTTTACTCATTCATTCAAATGCTGTAAAATCCAAAGACAAAGGTTTATGAAGTAGTCTCCGCTGACAGAGACATCCGCCAGACTGTGGCCGTCGTCGTAGACATAGCACCGGGTTTTCACACCCCTGGCCTTCAATAAGCGGTAGTATTTAAGTCCCTGAGTGGAGGGCACCCGACGGTCCCGTTTGCCTAACATCATAAGCGTCGGCACCTTTACGTTAGGCGCCCAATGGATGGGCGAGCGCTCGGACATGACTTTGGCGCTCATCGGCTCTAAGACTGCATCGCTTTTATAGGATAGGGATGTGCCGAACGCCTCCACATAACACCAGTCAGGGATGTCTGTGCCGTCGGGATTGGTTGACAAGTCTATGACCGGGTTTAACGCAACACAAGCCTTAAAATCCCAGTGCGGGTACTGACCGGACAGGTGTGTCACGAGAAACCCGCCGTGAGAACCGCCTAACAGAACGAGTCTCTGTCGGTCCACCAGATTCTTATCGCACAGGTATTGCACGCATTGAATGACATCTTTGACGTCCAGATCGCCGACGTGTCCGATGAGAGACGACACGTACTCCTCGTCCACACCTAACGATCCCCTGTAGTTGACTACCGGTTGAGACATAAGTTAATTAACTTTTTATAACTTGATATAAAAAACAAATACCTAATAATGTCTTAAATCCAAGTCTAGCTAACATTACAGGAGTTGTCAAATAAGTATTGTAATAGACGCAATGGGGTCCGCCGTGGGGTAGGACTACAGTGGGCGCCGCCTCTGATTTGACTGTTTGAGGGCTGACCAGAATGGCTGTCAATAGTTTGTTGGGGTCTTCAGTAATGGGAATCCAATAGTTCTCAACACTTATGTCTTTCAGTGAATCACTAGAATTGGTCCCAATTTGTGACCACTCTATCGACGGCTCCGGTTTATCGTTGAGTCGACCGACAAACACATTGGGCTTAACATTGATGGCGGAGCCGATGGCTATCACGAGATTGTCTCTGAAGTCCAGGAGTTGGACGGAAGGTAAGGGGAAGTCAATGGGAATCAAGTGTCGAGTCTTGAGATCAATCAAATAGAGCCGTAACTGAAGTTCAGTGAAACAGTTGATCAGTAAATGGTTTCCCGAAGAAGTGAAACAATTATCGGGTAAGTCGTCGGCAAACAGAGCGCAGACTTTCCCATATTTAGGACCGCTTTCGGTGTTTATTATCTCTCGGCGCCCATCGGTGTCCACAAGAGTTTCACATGACTTCGACTCAAAGGTGTATCGCATTAGACGACTGGCCTTATCGTGAGGTCCGCCCACTTCGCACTCCAAATACACAAAACCCGTTCCGTCAGGCAGTGGACGGGGACTACGAATGGCTGTCCTCTCAGACCCACAGACCAGTTGTGGCACAGAGTCTTCAGATCGCAAATCCATTGTAAACACAGAGTTCTCGCGTATCGGACAGATTGCAAGTCCCAAACGTCGGGGTTCTTCAGGCCATCCAATGAATCCAATGCTATCACCCGTACTGTCCGTCCAGAAGGGCTGACCCAATGAATAGCCCGTCTTCTCAATGGTGCGGATCTTGAAGTCTTTGCTGACATCGAGAATACAGATCACTGTATGACTGATACCATCCAACCCATGGCCCCAATCCTCTCTGCAATACGAGTCCATTCATTACAATCATATCCTATTACGGCATCAAATGGCATACCTGTGCACAAACTCCTGACCCCTAGTGTCCGGCTCTTTGTCGGGTTTATCGGCCTTTTTGTTGACTCTCTTGTAATAGGACTGAGCTTTCGGTGCCTTATATTCAGAGACATATAGGAGTTGTTTGCCATTCGATGACCACAAGAGTCGTCCGAACGTGTCGTCCAATACAAGAGCCGAGTGTTCGTCCACTGAATCCGTGTCTATTGACCGCACTTTCGACGTCTGATCCCATACTTCGAGCCATTGTTTCGATTTTCCAGACTCCGGGTCTTTGGAACCCTTGCGCACGACAGCCATGTATTGAGATACCGGTGCTCTGGCAGTGGTCGCCAATCTATTCAATGGGTTTATCAGTAAAACAAACAATTCATGGATTGTATGAATCAATGTCTCACTCATTGGTCACATCCACGGGTTGTCCGACGGGTTGGATGTGTTTAACTCGAGTGAAGTCTTTGGACAGTTTGATGGTGTGATGGACGGCATGTTTGGTCGCTTCCGGGCGATCCATATCCCGAACCCTCCAATCCGTTCGTAAAGACATTTGTCTCTTATTATCACCGCATCGGTAGAGATGTCCGGCGATGGGAACCGGAGTTTTGGCGAACTCTCGATATAAGTTCACCAAATCGTCGATCTGTTCATTGGATTGAATGTCACTTCAATTGATTCACTCTTAAGACATGTCTTGTGATTATCACTCAATGCTTACCACAATCTGTCGGCCGTCGGCGGTCACCACTGACTGTGTGTCTGAAATAATAGGCAAACAATTGGTCACTAAAAGTGATTTAAGACTTCTTAAGACTAATTACTATTGATATACTCGTTGAGTGTCGCCGAAGACATGATTATCACAACAATTGATACAAATC